CTCTCTCTCTCTCTCACTTGTCGTTGTTCGCTTTTTTGTCTTCATGTTAGGTCCCACTGGGTGTTATGTTCTCCCTTGACTATCAGAAGAGACGGACTGTAGTTTCAGCTTATTTCTTCCCTTTCCCACGTTATCAACAGCATGATGTTTGTATACTTGCCCGCAGTTTTTACTTATTTCCATCACAATTTAAAAGTACAGGCCTGACGAGAATTGATCAAAAGCAGACGTTTGTTCATCAAATTGTCTCTGGAAACGTCAACGTAATTTTTGATAAAAGTTCTTTGCTTTTTATTAATTCCTTCAGTTGTTGTTTTGGTTTATTGCGTAAAAGTATACCCAACTGACGGGCATCACCATTTCCGGTGATAATTTTTTGAAAGCAATCTTTGTGGGTTTGTTTTTATATCATTGCCAGTGTCTGCTTCCGAATGTATTTTGGTGGGACCCCAAAGTGAGCTACTTAGTCAAAGTTTCAAAGTGCTCTACCCTATTAGCGGGTACTAACACAATGAACTTCACTTAATAGTTCGCTGCATCAGTATTCGTCAATATTTCAAAAATATTGCCGAGGTTGTACCCAAAGTTATGGTTCTGTGTTTCACCCAGTGGAAACAGGCAGTTAGGTTTGCACTAAAATGCGATTACAGTGAGAAGAGCTTATGCCGAATTGACCCCACTTGCTCTCCACAAGTACAACTTCTTCTACCAAGAAGACAGCCAAAAACGATTGAAAATGAGTTAAGGCAGTTGTGGACCATGCGTGTTGTGCCGTATTGCAGGTTCCACAACCTACCTGACCAGTACGTCCGACACCGAAAAGTGTCATTTTAGGGCTGATGTTAAACCGCTATCCCAGGTTTGGAAACCAATTATGTGAAGACACGGCCCACAAGCACGCGTGCACGCATTTCAGTGCGTAGGGCTAGAGGTGCTACCGCAGGCCCGACGGCACTTCAAGGCCATAGTTAACGATCGGCCGACGCCTACTGGCGGCCCAGCGACCAATCAAAGTGCGATGCTGGGGTTGCCTGCCAGATGTGCCGATGGCAATTCATTCAGAAGCCGCGCAGACATCCTGATGCCTACGTGGATCAACATTTTCCTTGCTTTCCTTCACCTGGCAGCCAGCGTACCCACGTATATCTGTCCTCGTGGATATTGGGCTGCCACAGTTAGGTCTTCATCGTCTGGTCAGAGCATTGGGGATTACAGTAGTGATCGAGAATACAGTCTCCCCTACGGACCCATTGGAAATGCGCCGATCTGCCGTTTTTGTCCCGACGTCAGTTGTTTCATCAGAAAGCAGAAGACCAAGGTGACTAAAAGCAAACCGGAAGTAAGGAGACGACCGCGGCCACATCAGACACAGGCACAGACGACCACCCCTATTGTCCCTGCCATCGATGACCTCTTTACTGTCTTCGATAATACAACATCAACTAAGGCGCCTGAGACACACGAAGAGGCGGGTGTTCAGATGTCATGTGCCAAATATGCTGATTTACCATTTCCTGAGGAGATAAGCACATACCTAGACTGTGTGCAGATTGGACAAGCTGATCAATACTATCTTTTCATTTACCAACCTCTGAATCTGGAGAAGAAAGTGGAGCCTGTTGATTGCATTGATCCAGATTTCCTCAAATGGGTGCCCGCAAATGTCTCAATAAAGGGCATAGAACTAGGTTTTCCTATGAAACGATTGCCACCGTACTTCTTCCGATACTACGGGCAGCTACTTACGGTAGGAATTTTTAAATGCCTTGAGGGACTTTTTCGCATAACATATACTTGAGGCAGTGAAGACACACAGCAAAAGGATATTGTATTTGGCCAACATTTACGTTTTCAGTGTGGTTGACCTAGATGATATGCTTGTGAGCTCTTGAAAACTAGTTGTGCATGTGTGCTGGCCTAGACTTAGTCATAACCTCCTGACATAGACCTTTTGAAGACCTGCATGCACAAGCAAAGATATAACGGTGCTCTAACTGTTATGGTCAGCGAACTGAGCTCATAAACACGGGATGTGCTTTTAATCCAAACTGGGCGATAGTATTCGGAAGGAATAAAGTGCGACATCTGAGGAAAATACGTTAATCAGCTGATGTTTCCATCAGTTTGCTCTGTTATCGACTGCTGAAGCCTGATTTACATAATCTCACAGTGCACTCTATCTCATCTATTCAATATGTAAATATGTTAAGAAATAATAAGTATCAAACCAAAAGGGGTACATCAGGAGGAAGAAAGGTTTTTGTGACACCCGACGTCCAATTGGGTATTTTGGAACGTGGTTTCATCTCGTTCGATTCGAATGGCGCCATAAACTTTGTCCCACATTTTCTCCGCGTTTTTGTTAGATTCTGACTTATACTTCCATCTGGAGTTGACCTAGTTCGGTACGTGTCATTCCTTGCAACCGCTCACAGGACAGGGCCTCGTTAGTACGGAGAGAATAGAGATATTATTCTATTCGCTATTTGGCTCAATAGAACATTCGGTGACTGACGTCATTGCATTGTTCTAGCAGGAGGCGTAGAAGTGGGGGAAAGCCTTTCGTGGGCTAAAAGGGAGCGTTGTGTCTTCCATCGTAAATCAAGTTGCAAGTGGGCACCATTGAGCATACATTTTTCCAGCACATGCACCAGACCGAATGATCCATCCCTGTTTTATTTATATGCCAAGGCCTAAAATACCTCGATTCCATAAGCGTAAAGAGCTACCGAATAGCAGATTAGTTTGACACACCCTCGCTAGTTAAAACGATCGTAAGATTGTAACTCACCTTCCTACACACGCCTCTGCCCCAATTTACCTCATAACAGGTTTTTTTGCGTAATATAAACGATTTTTCCTAGTCCATAAACGTTCAACGACTGCTAACGGAACTCATCTATCCCGCTTTTCCTTGGGCCTTCACAGAGGCCCTGACAGCCCTAGCAGTTGCTAGTATAGGCCAGATAGTATAACCGGCAAAGATAAGGGAGACTAGAACGACCATTTCTGGCTTACTAGCCGTCATCAGCCAGCCATACTCAGACCCAATTGGTGCCCCACGCGAACAACGAACTCGCAATTTTTCTTTTTTTATGTTCAGGAACACAACGTTTCCCCGCGTAATAGACTCATATGGTAATTGGTGGTTATGTACGCCCACCCCCGTATTTCTTGCGCTGAATTCCAGACAAAGTTTGTTCCAGGTTGAGCTTTAGTGTTAGAAGTTGGTAAATTAGGATTGGAGTTACAGATATTGCTAAGGTTAAGGTAAAAGGTACACCTTGGAATTTAGTGCAGGGATGAATGTACTTTGCAAGTATTTATATATGTATCCAACTGGATCTTATTCCTGCTGTTTCCGTATGACAGGAGACTCTGTGCGGTAATTTAGGAGTGGGGGAAATATCCTACCACAAATTACCTTTATATGCATTAAAACAAGCAGATAGTGCAGATACGCTGTGCCCTTTTTTATACATTTGAAATGCTACGTTTCATTTCCTAAAAGACCATATTACGGGTGACCCCGTGCCATACTTCACGGGAGTGAGAACATTGGGTAGACCTATACATGTCCAATCCACATGGCTTTTTTTAGATCCCATCTTCTAGCTGGCGGGTGTCGGACGACGGCTTCACGCCCTAGCGGCCACTGCATCCAGTTGCACCGGGGAAGGGGGTCAGGTCAGGCTTTATTAAGGGAAATATAGGTAAATACCTTTGAACTCCCTACTGGTACAGAAAATTTATGCAATGCAATGCTTGTCCAAGTCAAAATGACAAGGGATGCATGGAATAGGGCGTAATTAGTCAGGTAGATTCACCCCGGACCCGTCCAAAACGTGTTGTGAAACCGTCACCACACACTAAAAGTCGTAGCCTGAGAGGAGTCCAGTTTATGGTATACAGTAGTCGCCGGCTATTAGGCCCACGGTTAATAAACCCGCCGCTTATTAAGCCCAATTTGGTCTGGGCCTGATGTGGACTTAATAACCGGCGACTGCTGCATTAAGCCCACGGTTAATAAGC